TTTAACCCAACAGTTGGGTTAGTCCATATTTGACCCAAAATTGGGTTGAAACAACCCAGCATTTTTTAGAGTGTATCATTGATTGTCTTGTCTATCTTGTTTTAAGATAAAAATAACAATCAATTAATATTATGTAGCCTAAATTATGTGAATTATTATAATTCAGTGTTTATTTATTTATTTCTTTAGCAAGACCATTAGTGTTATTCATTTCAGTAATACAAATTATTTTCATTTTAATGTGTAGGCTTTCACTTAATTTGAGTGTTACAGACTCTTTGTTTATTTGTTTACTTACACTACCAGTCAAAGTTTTTTTTTTTTTACTATTTTTCACATGGTTGAATAATAGCAAAATGTTGAAAACTATGAAATAACACAAATAGAAGTATGGGAATGATGTAGTGATCAAAGCATGATGTGACACAAATGAGAATTATTTATATTTGATATCTAGACATTCATCAGCTAACTTCATGAAGTTTATCATGGGATGCTTTTAAACACTATTGAAGGAGTTCAAAGTTAATGTTGTTTTTCCTTCTATCTATCTATCGATCTATCGATCTATCAGTGTATGTCTATCTGTCTATCTGTCTATCTATCTATCTATCTATCTATCTATCGATCTATCGATCTATCAGTGTATGTCTATCTGTCTATCTATCTGTCTATCTATCTATCTATCTATCTATCTATCTATCTATCTATCCAACCTTTTCCTGGGTATTCAGAAGCGGAAGTGAGTGAGTTGGTTAAATTTCTATAGTGGTGAATGGAAATTACAACAATTACAAATTTATAATTTCCATTTTTCCTGGGTATTCAGAAGCGGAAGTGTCATAGTTGGTTAAATTTCTATAGTGGTGAATGGAAATTACAACAATTACAAATTTATAATTTCCATTTGCTTCAGTAACAAGACAAAACATAAAAAATACTAGCAAAAGATATTGCTAGTAAATTTCACAAACAACTATGGCAAGTTGCACATTGAATAAAACGTAGAATATAAATGAAATATTTTCTTGTAAAACATTCTCCAATAATCTTTATGTACGACTTTGAAAAAAAAAACAATGTATGTTGTTAATAACCAGTCTGTGAAAAAGGGTCAATTAGTTGACAAATTAATGATCCGAAGTCAGTCTAAACAGATCAAAATGGTAACTTAAAGAGTTAAAGAGTGGTCTGCTCTGTGTCAGCTGGCCTCATAGGTAAATATTTCGAGTGTTGTGGTGAGGAGTCAGTGCCCTGCGTCTTCTGCGTCCCGGGTGACAGAATAATCTACTGAACAACAGGTGGAATGGGGCCAGTGCCCACCTGCTCGGGGTCTTTCTGCGGCGCTGGAGGGAGGGGAAGGAATATTGTGTTATTTTAATAAAAAGCATCAGGGAAACGTTATTAAATGCAACATCTGTGTGAAGGTTTCATTAGAGCTCCATAAAGTGGTGTTTAGTTGGAGCGTCTTCACACTTGGGCTCCGTCTGTGTCCGTTTTCTTCTGTAGAGTTCAGTTTGCTGCATGCCTTATTTCCGTTTCCCCTTCAGGAACTCGAGCTGCGTCGAGATTCGCTTTTTGAACGCCCCTGCGTGACCGCGCTCTGAAGCACGTGTAAAATCAGTCCAATGGAGCAGCGAGACGTCACTTCTGTGGGAAGACCATCATCTCACTTGGCACATCACCTGCTGGAGATGCTGGCCGTGTTTCAAGCTCTGACACACTTCCTTCCAGACCTAAGGGGACATCATGTGCTTGTCCGCACAGACAACACATCGGTGGTCTCCTACATCAACGCAGCTCGAGTTCCTGAAGGGGAACGTCTCTAGGTTACGTATGTAACCATGGTTCCCCGAGGGAACGAGACGCTGCGTCTCTTTGCCATACTCCCTGCATCCCTGCAGGCGCTACTTCATCGAAGCTGGTTTGCGCTCTGCCGGATGCGCTTTTATACTTCCTGGCGCTCACGTCACCCCGCTCGTGACGTCTCGCTGCTCCATTGGACTGATTTTACACGTGCTTCAGAACGTGGTCACACAGGGGCGTTCCCAAAGCGAATCTCGACGCAGCGTCTCGTTCCCTCGGGGAACCATGGTTACATACGTAACCTAGAGACGTTTGTTTTTACCTTGATCATTGAGTAACACAAAGGTTTTATCTTGTAAAGACAAACAAACACATGGATGCTGAGTAATTAGTTTATTATGGAAGCATATTTCCGTGAAGGGATAAAAAAAATTAAGCTTTTTTTTTTCCATTCTGAGTTTATATCTCACATAGAAAACAAGTCAGAATTGTGAGATACAAACTCAGAATGGCAAGATATTAACTCAATTGCGAGATGCAAACTAAATTGAGAGATATAAACCCAAAAGTATGGGATATAAACTCAGAATTGTGAGATATAAAACCCCAAATTATGAGACATAAATTCAGAACTGCGAGGTATGAAGCCAGAATTGTGAGGAAAAAAACAGAATTGCAAGATAAAAACACAAAATTACGAAATAAACTCAGAATTGCTAGATATAAACTCAGAATTTCGCAATATAAACCCAGAAATGCGAGATATAAACTCACATTTGCAAGATTTGAAACTCGCAGTTCTGAGGAATTATGAAATTGCAGTCGAAATCTTGCAGTTCTGAGTTTACATCTCCCTTTTTTCACATTTTTTTCACTTTTTTACGTAGACAAACTTTTTTTCACATGTGATTTTTTTTTTGTTGGCAGAAACAAGCATTTCTATTTTATCGTGTTGTGATCAGTATTTGTGTTTTTCTCAGGTAAAGCAAATGAGGAACGTTTTCTTGTAGGATGTTGCAATAGAACGTTCTAGATTTGTTCTGACATTTTGTCATGTGTCTGACTGAAATCACTGTGTCTTATTCAAACACACACACACACACACACACACACACACAGCAGGCCGTCTGCACAAATGTGTGTGTGTATGTGTTTGTAAGTGTGTGAATATCTGCTTTCATGTGTGTGTATTGTGTTACTGAGATTAAGAGTTGAGCCTGAGCTAAACACACACAGCAGCTTCTCAAAGTTAATCCTGGATTTCAACAGCCCATATAAAACAAAGAAAGATACTTTTTATAATTTGTGTATTATGTTCACAGAGCTATTGGATAATAGTTATTATATTTGTCTTATATATGTATATATATATATATATATATATTTTTTTTTTTCACCATTAAACTACTGTTGTATTTGCTTTGCTGCAGCGTTAGCCACATTTAACCTTAAAGGCAGTTGTGTTGTTTTAGTGCTATTATCACGTTAACACGACGTTATTAGAGACACTCTTAACGAGACACTCACTTGATCAGAACTGACTGGCCCCTCCAGCTACAAAATCACTGTTAAACAATATGAGCTTTAAATTAATGTATGACCCATAGCTAATATACTGTGTGTGTGTGTGTGTGTGTGTAGGTTCACTGTGACTCTCAGCTTTACATTCCAGCTCTGATTAAAGTGGATTTTGTTGTGTGTCTCTGTGTGTTTATGTTTGTTTATATGCTGTGTGTGTATTTGTTCTGAATGTGAGTTACACACACACATGTGAATGTATATCTGTGTGTGTGTATGTGTGTGTGTGTGTGTGTTGTGTGTGAGCGTAGGTTTTATATAGTCATTTACTCACCCTCATGTTTTTACCAAACCTGTATGACTTTCCACAGAGGAAAGACAATCATACAAGTTTGGAGGATGAGTAATCGATATCATAATTTTAATTTTTGGATGAACTATCCCTTTAATTTTCTCCAAAATCTTTACTTGTGTATGCAAATATAAATACATATAAACACATGATAAACTAAAGTTTTTTTTTTTTTAAATCTAAAATTTTTGTGATTTTACCACGATTAAGGGGTTTTCTTAGCCACAAAATAATAAAAAATCCAATGTCCAGCTAGATTTAAACTTTTTTGGAAGGCGCCAGTATTGTTAGTGTTGGCTAAAACTATTAAAAACCGTGTTCAGTAATTGAAATAAAAAAAAAGTTAATATTACATGAAATACATAAAAATAAGTGAAAATGAGAAATGTTAGAAAAGTTTTAAAAATAAAAAAATTAAGTAAAAATATTAAAACTGAAATAAAAAATAAAACTTAATAGAAATGTTTTTAGAAAAAATAATGAAAATGTCAAAAGCATATAACAAAAATATTATAACTGAAAACTTGTATGAAAACTGAAAATATAAAAATTTAAGTTTATTCAAAATATTAATAAATACAGTAGTATATAAATAATTCTAACTGACTCTGACTCTTTGGTCTGCGCATGTTCATTTTTACTCCATTTTGGCTTTACATGTGCCAGTTTACACTGATATCCGAACCAGAGAAAAAACGTCTCATGTACATACAGTCGAGTTTGCTGTTTTTTATTTTTGTAGTGATTAGCATTTTGTTGCACGTTATAAATGCATGGAGTGACTCACAAAAATTGTGTAAATGTGTGAAATGGTGCTATATTTTGTTTTTGGACTCTGTTCTGCATCATGCATTAGTTTGGTTATGAAACTCGAGGGCATTTGGTCCGATCTGTGAGTTTTGTACAGGAAGTCGAGCTCAGAGGAAAACGGGGTGATTGAGTCAGACGCGAGCGTGACGCACTGTTGCTCAGTGGCTCTAATCTTCCTGTACACACACTCACAAACACCACAATTCCCAGAGAAAACTTATATTTGTGTGTAGTACTAATCACTTACAATGATCTCTCCTTGTTTTTTGCGTTCTTATGAACTCGTAAAGTCTGAAGTTTGAATAGCAAAGCGTGTGTTTTGTTTTGAGGGACCCCTGATCATGTCCGTTTGAGACGGACCTCTTAAAATAGCCCTGTCTGGCTGCAGGCCACTTCTGATTGCAGTTATGTGTCTGCAGACGCAGTGTCACTCTGCGTCTCCTCCTAATGTGATTTCGGAACCAAGGCACTTTTTCCAAGTAGGATTATGGAGTCTGGGGAGCGTTCTGATGACTGGGGGTCATCTCATTCACGCCGTGTTGATACCCGTCTGGAACCCTGTCGACAACATCGCTGTGCTACAACTCAATATAGCAACATCTGCAATAGCAATGGCTAATCTGGATGACATAACAGTGTTTTTTTCCATTGAGTGGTCCCAGATGATATTAAAGGAATAGTTCACCCAAAAATTAAAATTTGCTGAAAATGTGCTCACCCTCGGGCCATCCAAGATGTAGATGAGTTTGTTTCTTCATCAGATTTGGAGAAATGTAGCATTGCATCACTTGCTCACCAATGGATCCTCTGCAGTGAATGGGTGCCGTCAGAATGAGAGTCCAAACAGCTGATAAAAACATCACAATAATCCATACCACTCCAGTCCATCAATTAACATCTTGTGAAGTGAAAAGCTGCGTGTTTGTAAGAAACAAATCCATCATTAAGATGTTTTTATCTTCAAACCGTTGCTTCCAACTGAAATACGAGTCCTCTATCCATAATATTGCTTTCTCCAGTCAATAAGTCGTCTCATCTGAATCAGAGAGAAATCTGCACAGATCAAGCGCCGTTTACAAGCAAAAACAGTTCTAAACAAATATGTGGGTGGGTTTTGATGTGAGAGACAACAGGAGATGGATTTTTTCACTGGAGGAAGCGAGATTATGGACTCATATTTTAGCCAGAAGCAATGGTTTAAATAAAAAAAAAACTTTAATAATATATATGCAAACACGCAGCTTTGCACTTCTCAAGATGTTAACTGATGGACTGGAGTGGTGTGGATTACTTGTGGATTATTGAGATGTTTTTATCAGCTGTTTGGACTCTCATTCTGACGGCACCCATTCACTGCAGAGCATCCATTGGTGAGCAAGTGATGCAATGCTACATTTCTCCAAATCTGATGAAGAAACAAACTCATCTATTCATGTTTTTTTACATTTTTCATGTGAAGATGGGTGCTAGGCTGCATAGCATACATGGGCAGTTTGGTGACACCTACTAGTGAACGTGTGATTAAAACACTTAAACTAGCAAAATATTCCTGTTACAGACATGATACATGGTTTCCCATGTGTTGTTCATGCCATTTTAATGGATTCATGCTCCACTGTTTTACAAAGTTCATCCAAACTTTGCCCCAAACTGAATCTTTCGAGACAATTCTGACTTCCTGATTATCATCTTCACAAGCAACTTTGTTAAGGTTTATTTGGAAAACAGTGAATCTTCAGACCAAGTCTCACAAAATTTACTTACTGAATGTTTGATATTCAACACCGTTTTACCAATAAATCTTAGCAAACTTGCTTGTGAAGACGCCAAACAGGAAGTTAGGAATTATCTTGGCAATGCTTTCATGTATTAACACAAAACTTTATATGCATCATCAATATATGGCCATAAGAATATCACAAAATGTGATGACAGTGCCACCTACTGGTCTAAAGTCGTAAAGCTACAAATGCGTATTAATTTTAGCTCTACCTATACCACTGTGAGTGCAATGACCAAATCAATCTGTTCAGCCTTCCAATGCGTGTAATTGCTGCTTGCAGCTATATTTTCAATGTATTTTACTGCATTTGCATATCGTTTGTGCCATTTTTAGATTAGCAATCCAATGCAACTCTAACTAAACGTATTCTCTTCTATAGAATTGAGCACCTGCACCGTTCCAGACCTGGAAAAACCCGCCACGGCCTTTTCCAGAGCCTCAGCCGGCCCATCAGTATCCACTAGGGTGTTTTGCCCTCTCCCACCACCACCCTGTCGTCCGAGTGGGTATCAGCGTCCTCTCCGGGGGGCGCTAGCGAGGAGCTGAGTGAGGGATTGGATAAGCCTCTGGAGAACGATGCGGAGGGCGTGTGGAGTCCAGATATCGAGCAGAGCTTTCAGGAGGCGCTGGCCATCTATCCGCCCTGCGGCCGACGCAAGATCATTCTCTCTGATGAGGGCAAGATGTACGGTATGCCTCTTCCATTCTGCCTCTGTGCATTTGCTTTTGCAGCCAGTGGATAACGTGTGATTTCTGAACCATGTAAATATATTAATGTGGATTCCCAAACATCTGTTCCTCACACAAAACTATTATATTTACATTTAATCATTTAGCTGACGCTTTTATCCAAAGCGACTTACAAATTGAGAAGAGCAAATAGAAGCAATTCATACCAATAGGAGGGCAACAGTATACAAGTGCTGTAACAAATCTCAGTTAGTCTAGCACAGTACACATACCAGTTTTTTTTCCCCAGAAAAAGAGACAAATAGAATAAGAAAATGTTAGCATTAGTTAGGCAAGTGCTGACGAAAAAGATGTCTTTAGACGTTTTTTGAAGATGGCCAAAGACTCGAATTGAGATAGGCAGGTCGTTCCACCAGCTTGGAACAGTCCAGGTAAAGGTCCGTGAGAGTGATTTCGTGCCTCTTTGGGATGGTACCACGAGGCGTCGTTCATTTGCAGAGCGCAAGCTTCTGGAGGGCGCACAGAGCCAGTGGTTGTCTTGTAGGCAAACATCAGTGCCTTGAATTTGATGCGAGCGGCTATCGGCAGCCAGTGCAAACTGATGAAGAGAGGTGTGACGTGCACTCTCTTCGGCTCATTGAAGACCAATCTTGCCGCAGCATTCTGGATCAGTTGCAGAGGCTTGATAGTACATGCCGGAAGGCCTGATATATATAATAATAATAGCCCTTATATGTTGATAAAACATCAGAAGGGTACAAAATCACATTCACGAAGATTTGCCTTCATCCATACCGCTCTCTCTCTCTCTCTCTAGCTCATTACAATTCATATCCTCCCTTGGGTCCTGCGCTGTGATTGGACAGCTGTACTAGAAGCCTTAATTCCCGTCTCACTCTCTTTGTGGTGCCTCAAGGTTGTGGTAAGTAAGTGTGGAGCTCAAAGAGTCAAACCCAAAATTGATTAGGGCTTTAAGGCTAGAGCCTTTAGCAACCTTGAATCCTGAAGAGCATGTTCTGCAGAGACTTTTTGACTAAGGAAATGGAGTCTGATAAACTACATGCTACTTTTGGGACTCAATTTCATTCATCTCACACAAAGATATTCTACTTCACAGAACAATTGTTTACTATGAGGCAAACTGCACAAACTCTATTCTTGACTCGGTTTGCTCTGAATTGATTATGCATATTGTAATATGCATATACTTGTACTATTTTTATGCACATTTGATGTGTGTGTTTTCAAACAGGCCGGTCATATCAAAGTCTTAACCCATATAATAATAAGCAGCTAATCAATCAGGGCTTTAGAGACGCGGGCTGCTTTTGCCCTGCAGGGAAAGGGGGCCAATCAGCAGTACCCATGCTTATTATTAATTCAGTAGCTATGGGAGCTCTTGGCTCTCTATCCCCCTGAGTTTAGAGCTCTGTGTCAGCACAAAGTGCATCCATCACAGTTTGGCCTTTTTGGTATTGATTTGGTCTACTATGTTAAATATATTCAAGCAACAATAATATGTCATCATCACTGTGGGTAATTAACATGCATGAGATATAGGTATATAGAATTATAGGCATTAAATATTCAGTTTAAGTGCTGGTTTATTTTTTTTTCTGGTTTGGAGTTGAATGGTGAAATCACAGGCAATGATATATAAAACTAGTGGTTGAATCAACTGTCATTAAGCAAACTTATAATTAGGAAATATGAAAAATCAAGATGTTTATGACAGCAAAGGTAAATTGAGATTTTTTTGTCAGTCTGTGCATCAGTGGTGGGATTTTTTTAATGACTCTTTCTGTAAGTAACAGAGTTACAAGTTACAGTCCATTAAACAATTAAACCTATTTATTTGAAGCCTGATTCATACAGAAACCAACCTTGTCAGTGAGTTAGTAAATCATTCATTCAACCAATTTGTTCAAAACACTGATTCATTCAGAAACGAAATGTGTGACTGTCTTTATGAGTGATTCATTAAATCATTCATTCAACATACAGTAGTTGCGATTGTGCTGTTTTCCAATTATAAGTAAGGCTGTGAACATTTTTGCTTGTGTGATATTGCTCAAATATAAGTGATTTGTAATAGAAAATTATTGTGATAATTTTTTATAGGAATTTTCACAGGAATTTTTATTTGTTTTTACCCAATGTTCACCTGTAGCGTCTTACCAGCATATGTGAAAATACATGAAAAAAGAACAATGAAAACAAAACGTTGCGCTTGAATTAGCTTTCATCTTCAAGCAAACCCATTTATAGGTTATATACATACAGTATCTCACAGAAGTGAGTACACCCCTCACATTTTTGTAAATATTTTATTATATATTTTCATGTGACCACGCTGAAGAAATGACACTTTGCTACAATGTAAAGTAGGGAGTGTACAGCTTGTATAACGGTGTAAATTTGCTGTCCCCTCAAAATAACTCAACACACAGCCATTAATGTCTAAACCGCTGGCCACAAAAGTGAGTACACCCCTAAGTGAAAATATCCAAATTGGGCCCAA